GTTTTAGGGTTTCCCCACTTTCGCGATGTTATTTCCCAAAATAGAATAGCGTTGGATCTCAATGCCCTATCTCGTTCTCTGGGGACGGGGAAGGACTCGATAGCACAGGTAGTTACCTGGTGTGAATATAAATAATAATATCAGCCCGGTCTTTCCCAAAGAATTCCTGCTCCTAGGTCATTCATTTCATTCCATTCTCTTCCTTGAGTTCCTCCTAAATGTTTGCTTTGACTACTATATTACTCGGTCTCGCAGCCCCGTCTCTGGCAGCTGCAAGGGCGGCCGCAAACCTCAACGTCTCAGCTACAACGCTTGAGACTTATGGATGCGATGCTACATGCCAGGCGGTCTTCAACTCTGCGCAGGCCAAGGACAGAGAGTTATTCGGCACAGACTTTGAATTTGGTTTCTATGCCACGGCATCCAATTTCTCCAGCTCGCAACCAGGTGATCTCTTGAAGTTTGAGGCCATCAACCCGAGTGACCTCGATGTTATCACCGGCATATCTGCCTATCGCTTCCAGTATACGTCCCGTGACTTGAACGGCTTCCCCGTCCCAGCTACCGGATTCATTGGGATACCCTACACATCCTTTCGGAAAGACAAAAAGTACCCAGTAATCGCATACGCCCACGGCACCATTGGCGTCTTCGCAGGATGCCCACCATCAACGACCTCCACTCTCTACGATTATACTAGTTGGAGTCTTCTCATAGGAAAGGGATATGCCGTTGTCGGACCCGACTATGCTGGTCTCGGGAACAACTACACGTCACATAAATACCTGAGCTTCCCTGCCCACGCCAACGACCTCTACTATAGCATGGTCGCCGCTCGGAAGGCATTTCCCGGTCTGTTCACAGACGAATGGATGAGTGTCGGCCACTCCCAAGGAGGCGGTGCTGTCTGGAAGCTCTCAGAAAGCAAAATGCTTCAGACCGGAGCCGCCGGGAAGTACGTAGGCACCGTCGCCTTAGCGCCAGCTTCCAAGATATACGACATGACTCTTCTTGGTATTGAAACACTCCTACAGACCACCGATTATGCATCGTATGATATCCTCTACGAAACTCTCTGGCTACCGTTCGCCATCGAGCGGGTCTTCCCGAACATGGCCCGCGCGCCGTTCGCCGAGCCACTTCAGAATAGAACCAAAATCGCAGGTATAGCACAAGCATGCGATTATGCGATCATGTCATTGGCTTACGGGCTAGAGCCATCCGCTCTCTTTACTCCTGCCATTATAAACAACACGGACTTCCAGAAGTGGCAGGACATGGTCGCCCCAGCCAATGGCGACAAGGCGGGAGAACCGATGATGATCGTCCAGGGATTGAACGATACTGCCGTACTTCCTCAGATCACGGTCAACTCATACAAAGATACGTGTCGCCACGGAAACGAGGCTCACCTGAGGCTTTATCCTGGAATGGATCATACTGACGTGCTGACCGCAAGTTCCCCTGAGTGGCTGGCCTTTATAGATCACCGATTCGCTGGGGAGAATACTACGGGCAGATGCAGCACGGTCACACATAAGCCTTTTGATGCTGTCCATATGGTGACCAGCCCTGAAGCTGAGGGAGTCGCCAGCATCTAGAGATGCATTGTGGATTTGAAGCACCACAAGCGGAGAGGATTAGTTTGTCGGAGTATATGTTCTGATCGCAGAGTACGCGTGCTTGATACATTGACCATATAGTATCGATCTAGGTGAATTTGCTTTACCATTGTAATACTTTAAAGATGCGATAGTTCACTCATCTCTCTCCTTTACATGCCGAGTCGCCGTCCACCATACTTTTACTTACCCTAGTCTATCCCCACCAATGGACACGCCATAAGTTAAACCCCCGAAAATCAATACATCGCAAACCCCCCAGAAGCAGAAATAGCCTGCCCCGAAACCCACCGACTTTCCTCCCCCGCCAACCAAGCCACAACCTGCGCAACATCATCAGCCGTCCCCACCCTCCGCTCAACCGGCGTAACACCCCTCTGCATCTCCACCAACTCCCCCGGAATCCCATCCAACATCTCCGTCCTCACCGGCCCGGGATTAACAGCATTAACCGTATGCCCGGCGCCCCCCAACTCCGCCGCCCAGCACCTAGTCAACCCCTCCAGCGCCGCCTTCGACGAACAATAAACCGACAGGTTCGCGAATCCGGCCCGTGCACCCACAGAACTAACATTAATAATGCGACCCGGCGCCCGGAGATGCGGGAGCACAGCCTGCGTTAAGAAGATGGCGGCTCGGACATTGAGTTCGTAGACGTGGTTGTAGTCTTCTATCGTGAGGTCTGCGAGGGGTTTTACGATTTCGGTGCCGGCATTGTTGACTAGGATGTCGACTTGAGGTCCGAAGGTTTTGATTGCGGCTTGCACTATGGTGTTAGGGGCGGAGGGGTCGCGGAGGTCTGCGCGGATTTTGGCTGCGCTAGAGCCATTGTTAAAGGTTTTGATGTGGCTAATTAGGTGGTCGGTCGTTGATGAGCTGCTTTCGGATGTGTATGTTATTAGGACCTGTGGGTTGTTAGAAGGGTGTATATCTAGATTTATGGGGGCGGTCTAAGGGCGCTTACTTTGGCTCCTCTTCGGGCTAATTCCTCGGCGAGCCCGGCTCCAATGCCTCTCGATGCGCCGGTGACAATAGCGACTTTACCGGCCAATGTTTGGGGTCTGGGGTCTGCGACCATTTTGGGATATAGATCAGTCTGGGTAGGTTGTAACTTAAGTGGCTACGTCCTGTGAGACTTTTGGTATGACTTTCTGGATTGCACTTTGAGGGACATCATGGCCCTATTTATTATCTCCTGTCTCGTACTCTTTCTTGATCAATGGCCAATCACGATGTATACGGAATTTGGCTTCTGTCCGAACCGATGTCACTGACCCCGAAGATTTTCGGACCGAGCGCTGGACTTGACACCTGAGAATCGAGGCATGCATCATACATGACATCATCAGAGCCTGGAGATTGAACCCTTCCAAGTAAAGACAAACACAGGATGGAGATTTTCAGATAATCGTAAGCGCTAGCTATCATTGCTCTCGGTCCAGTCGTCCAGTGGCTACAGAAAGCGCGCTATCATCCACCGAGTAGCTCCCCCTCCAGGGCTTAATTCCAATCTCCGAACATCTACCCCGCGAGATAGCGATATACCCCTCCCCATTGATTACATACCGATGCACTAACCGGAGCTATATTAAGAAGTTATACACCCAAATCATTCACCTCAACCACACTAGACTGTAACACTCAAAACAATAAACAATGCCAACCGTAATCCTCGGCGGAGGAATCATCGGCTCCGCAACCGCCTACTACTTATCCGAAACCCAATCGCCAGCCGACATCCACATAATCGAATCCTCGATAGAACTATTCAGCTCCGCATCAGGCTATGCAGCTGGTTTCCTAGCCAAAGACTGGTTCGCGCAGTCAGTCGCACCACTCGGTGAACTCTCATTTGACCTGCACGGGGCCCTAGCTGCCGAGAACGACGGGACAGAGAGATGGGGGTATATGAAAGGGACGGCGTTAAGCTTGATCACGACTGCTGGTACGGGGGGTGTTCGTCGTGGGGATGGCTGGTTGAGTACGGGTGCTAGTCGAGCGGAGACGGCCGCTGGGTCGAGTAAGTCGAGTATAGCTGGGGTTCCAGCTTGGTTGACGGTTCGGCCGGGTGTGGAGGTGGAGAAGATTAGTGATGTTGATACTGCTCAGGTGTTGGTATGACCTTATCTTTTGTAGGTGAGAAATTGGGCTAATGAGCGTCCAGTGATCCGTTAAGACTGTGCAAGTTCCTGATGGAGACTGCTATATCTCGTGGTGTCAAGCTCCACCAACCAGCCAGGGCTACTTCACTCACCACAGGCGAAGACGGCACTATCACTGGTGTTAAAATCGTCGACACCACCTCACAGTCGGGGTCTACAATTCCATGCACACATTTAGTCATATGCGCGGGTGCATGGACACCACAGGTCTACGAGGAACTCTTCCCTTCCTCTCGGGTCTCCATCCCGATCTCTCCCTTGGCCGGGTACTCTCTCGTCCTCCGGTCTCCGAGGCACACGCTGGAGCACGAACAAAGGACGTACGGAGGTCGAAGCCATGCCATCTTCACGTCGGACCCCTTCTCTTGCGGCTTTAGTCCGGAGGTCTTCTCGCGACATGGAGGCGAGATCTACATTGCCGGTCTGAACGATCCAGGGATGCCGCTCCCGGCTTACGCGGAGAAATCTCGCAGTTTGATAGACCGGGGTGAGCTGGAAAAATATAAAACGGTGGTAGTACAGCTCATGGGTAGACTTACCGGCGAGGGCACGGGATTCGAGGTACATAATACGGATGATTTGGAGGTCCTCCGTGACGGTTTGTGTTTCCGCCCTGTTGCGGAACGGGGAACGCCTATTCTATGTCGGGTGGAGGACGAGGTGTTGGGAGGTGGGCTAAAGCCAGGTAAGGGTGGTGGTGTTTTTGTTGCTTCTGGACATGGGCCTTGGGGTATCTCGCTGTCTCTAGGGACTGGGAGGGTGGTGGCGGATATGGTGGAGGGTGTGTTTCCGAGGGCTGATGTGAGTGGATTGGGACTTTAGGCAGAGCATTTCTATATCGTTGGTGCCTCTGGCAAATTACTCGTGAAATATATGGGCCCATTTTAAAGCATTGGGGGTGTTGTAATAAAATCATGTTCATCAGTAACCATCCAGGTTGCTTGCCCTTGTGATACATATATATACCCAATGAGCTTGATAAAGACAGGATGCAACACCTACAAAAACCTCATCTACTTGGCCGGTCACCTCCATAATTCTCCAAGCTATGAAGATAGAACTTAAGACCCTTAGATCACTTAAGAACTAGCAAAAACCGCAATGGTGACGATGCGCATCGCAATATGTATGTCGTGCTTATCTGTAAAGTTTTGGGAACTTGAGAGGATACTAAAAGTCCCCTATATATTAAAAAAACCGGCAGCCAATCACACAAGCCCGGGTGGTCTAGTGGTATGATTCTCGCTTAGGGATTAACCCAAGCATATCTGCGAGAGGTCCCGCGTTCGATCCGCGGCTCGGGCCTGTTCCTTTTTTTGTGTTTGTCTTCGCCGTGTCATCATCATCTGTGGGAATGATGGCCATGCTTTCTTTTCCCTCCCCGTATTTCTTTCTTCTGTTGCGGGGAGGCGATGGAGCAAGCAAGTCCTTGGCCGATCAATCATGCACGATGGCAGATAGCAAAGTTCTCATCTTCGTAAAACACAACCAATAATGCTACTCCCTAGTACATTCTAATCGCCTCGTTGCTAGGACAATCAATTGACTTTTCTCCTCATGTCCGTGGCCTGCTCCCTACCTACTGTATGTAAAGCCAGTGCACTCCGTTTAGCAATTATACCCAAAGCATTAATTACCATATCTACTTTCAACGGCCCCTCAACCAATCCAAAGCCCCCGACTACGCCCGTATCTCACGCTAAGATACCCGGCGAATACTTCGAAGATCACGACCTGGACCCCCATATCCGTGACTCAGGTTCGGGATCCTCGCCCGACACCTTAACCAGCGTGCCGACATGACATACATCCTATATCTCTACAACCAACTCAACTCCCCTCATATTCAACCTCAACCGCACCCTCACCCTCACCCACCATCCACCCACACATACAAAACACAACCACCCCCAAAATG